GTGTGTGACAAAATGTATATGTGAAAAGCGATAATATCAGTGAAACACGAAACGAAACACATTTTGATAAAAACCTCACGAAAAATTTTTTCCTCATTTTCATAGAAAAGTTCCGCCCTTTTCTAAATTTTAAAATTTTCTCAATTAGGCCAAAAGCCATCTAACACTCATCCATCACTTCTACGGCTCTTTTTATTCACCTCCATGAAATGAAACTTTTCAATTTCTTATCAGAAGTATGATATCCTTTCTATCTTTCTCATCTCACCCTTACTGTCCTTTAATCTTTCAAATCGGTCGGACATACAACGGTAATCCAAAACTATCAGAATTCCAACAAACACAGAAAAATATCATTCTCTTTCAATCTTCTTTGAATTTTTAAATTTATTTTCAATTTTTCTAATTATTATTATCTCCTCGCAAAATATAATTCAATCTGTTACTTTGTTTAAATTATTGACAAAAATTTGATGCAAAATCTTTCTCTCAAATGTTTCATTTCATTTTAGAAATAGTTAGCATTATTAGTTAACATAATTCATTACTGCGCTCAAATTTTAAGCTTAAATTATCTTTTTAAACTTAAATTAAATTTTAAACATAAATTTTATTCAATTCATTTATCGCCTTTTTACTTAGCTTATATTTCTGAAATATACATAAAAGAGGTTGAACTTTTATTGCTTAATGTGATGCTTTTCTGCAATTTAATTTTAAAAAGAATTTTTTCACTATCCTTTCTCGATCGCTAATCTGCCAACCTAATCAATCATTATAAATCACATTTTTTTGTTTAGGACCAAAAAAAAGGAAAAAATTATGCAAATGCTAATTAGCCTAGCAGTAATAACAGCAACACGATTTCATTCTATACTTTCTTCAATGGAAAATATCAATTATTGGATTGAATTAGAACTTCAAGCGATCCATTGGAAGCCAGCGTGTCTAACAACAGGTGGATGTGTTAATCCACGTTTTAGAATTTCTAAGTCTAACAAATTTAACGCTGAAATTATCGCAATAAGCTGGAGTATTACGGAAAATTTCGTTGAGGTTAGCACGTTATATTTCACAATTAAATTTTTGAAATTTTCAATTTTTGAATAAAGTTGAAAATAATCGTACTGGGAAAGGAAAGCACATCAGCATAATTATTTCATTTTTGTTACAATTTCAAATTGAACTTTAAGACCAATGAGAAAAAAAATCTGGATTTTTTACGAAGTTATATTAGTTTATACAACTATTTCTGAAATTTTGCTAACTGAAGCATGAACTAAAATAGCATTTGAAAGTGTTGACAAACTGCATTACTCATTGGATGCACATTAGCATTTAATTTAAAAAAAAAAGAAAAAGAAAATCAATTTGTAGAAATTTTTTGAGTCTTTTTCCTTGAGTCTTTTTTTTAGAGACATTCTCGAAAATTCATTACTCATTGGATGCATGGTAAGCCTCATGAAATTACTCTTCAATGTGAAGTCATTGGTATGGATCCCTTGTATGGATTCTCTCGAACTTGTGATACTACACAGAATATCGAAATATTCAAGGAAAATGATGACATTCAGGTTTTATACTAATCTTAAAATTTTTATAATTTAATTAGCCCACATTATATAATTTATCGAATCCAAAAAAATAAATGTGTCTGTATTATTTTAAATATATTTTATGATTTTCGTTTAAATTTGCTTTAAAATTCTTATCAAAAAATTGAAAAACATAACACTTTTTACTGAAAGTTTTACTAAAATTAAACAGGTTGACATATTCTGGAAAAAATTTTAAATTGTTAACCTAATGACTGGATTGGTTGATTGAGCCCATATTCAGACCTGATGCTATCTTAAATAAAAATGTTTGATAGTCAAGTTTTCTTGCTAAACCACCACTGAAGTCATATCACATTGATTAATATAATAATCCGGAATTTACAGCAGCTATTACCTAGGTTTTTTTAGCAATTTTAGAATTTTCAGGAACTTGACAGTTATTCAAAGTTAGTATCAGAAAATGAATTATTGATAGATGAAAGACGTGGCAAACTTATTGTTGAAATTCGAGCCAAATGTTTTAATGCTTCATTTGCTGTCCGAAAATATACGAAACATTGTCCGTGGTGTTTAGCGCAAGATGACATGACGCTTATTGAATCAGCGCCTGAGGTAATGAGCACACAATAGCATTTCTTACTATCGAAATAAAATTAAAGATCGGAATTAATTTGATTTGTTAAATCAATTCATAATGCATTGCTCATTATTTAACACTAACATGTTAACATTATTTTTGTAAAAAATTGCAGTATGAATCAACCGACGAAGATGTTAGAGCTGAAATGGGTTTGATAGAGAAGTTTGTGCAATTTTCTCTCGGACAGCAAACTTTATTTATTTTTCTGCTTGGCTTATCATTAATAAGTCTATTAGGCTTGATTTGCTTACTGCTGGTTATCAGCAAGCAACGTCACTTCATATCATTGCTACAGAAACGATCACAACCGAACAGTCATTTAAATTCCTACTTGTACTCGGAACAACTTGCAAAACCTGCGAAAAATGCTGATGATAGGTTGGTATCGATTTATAAACTGTTTGCACAATTGACTGTAGTTTTCCTGATAACAGAAAATTATTTCGGAAAAACTTTTTAATTTCAGGTATGATGTTCCATGGGATCAAAAATGCATTTTGCAACGATTTTGGATCAATGGAAATTCGACTATCGATGATGACAGCACAATGATAGGGTCAAGATTATTGAATCGTAATTCAACTCCAGCTTCATTATCTTACATGCCACAAAAGACAACGATTACAGGGACCATATCAACAATGTCAAAACGATTGTCACCCAATTCATCATTGTACGAACATCATGAGGACAGTGGTCTGGAATCTGTCTAACATATGGATCATAAAAATAACCATTAACCGTTTAGAGCCAGATGATCCAAAGTACAGGAATTTAATTAGCAAACATTTTAATTAGCAAACATTTATTCACTGTTCTAACATCACTGCTCGTAAATATCTTTATGAAACATTACCAATAACATAATTACTACAAAATAACAAAAAACTTTGTGAAAACTTATTAGAAAAATGAAATTTACGATACTGTTAGTTGATTTTCAAAAAATTCATTCATCAATCACTTTTCGAAGGCCTTAAATAGTGAAGAGATAGATAAAGAAGGTCTAAAGTAATGAGTCTTCTATCCCTCAATTAGATCATTTGACCATTGGATCATTGAATGAGAAAAGATAGTGCGATAGTACATGCAGTAGATCAAAACAACAATTTCGATTTAACAAATTATTGTCACGTTATTTTTATAACAATGTTCTGTGATAAATGTGTTTGCAAATATGCATGCATGTATGATTTTTACTGTCTCAAAGAGGCATTTATCTCATTTCTGTAAATATTTTTAAATGTATAAAAGAGAAAGAGTGAAATGAATGATTTGATCAATTTGAATAGAGCAACATTGGAAGAAAGACTTGAATGGTAACTTTATAACTTATATTATAACTTTATGAAATGTGGGACATTTCATGAATTTTTTAAATGATAATAATTGAAGGTGAATTTCTGAGATTTCGATAAAAAGGAAATTTTTGAATAATGAAATATGGGCTAAAAGTAATTGTGACTGTAATAGCAAAATTTGAAATGAAAAGCCACTTTACTTTAAATAAATAAATTTTTTAATTCTAGCTGAATGAAACTTTTTAAAATTAAGTCTACGGAATGTACTCTAATTTAATTAATTTACCCATACTAATTTAATTTGAAAATTTTTTCTAAAAGCAATTTTTGTTCCAATAATTGATGCAATTACTCATTGACTCATATTCTGAATTGATTTAACCAGTAGAAATTGCTTTCTGATCCATTATTGTGATCTCTATGAAATCGAGCAGTCGTCACTGATATAATGAGGATGACAATCAAATGCTCGAAAAAACCGTGATCATTGATAAAAACAATAACTATGGAGTGTTTTCTTGATACGATGAATAAGTGACCTCTATCCAGTGACCTTTGTCCAACAATCACAAATTGCTATATCAAAATAGATTGCACAAAAACAGGTAATTGATAAAAATGTTGCGTTTATTATTAGATTTCAATTATTGACAAATATTTACATTTAATAGAATATTTTAGCATTCTCGGTCATCACTAAAATCTTAGGGTTATATTTACCTTAAATTAATTTGAAAGAAATTGAAGAAGTCATTTGCTGCATTTAGTATTTTTGCGCTATCTTCATATTTTTTTTTTCTGCTAATTGTAATTGTAAGAAATTGAAATAGCGTAATAATTAATTGAATGACTGAAATAAAATTAGTTTGATTTTTTCAATATTATTGCAGCTATTACCATTAGTATGCGATTATCAATTACCGTTTTGCTTTTTTTAACATTTTGCTATGTTTTATCGGCGCAATTCTGGACTGATGTTAAATTGGAAGAGATGGAATGGTCAAATAATTGTGACCTGCACAATACCTGTATTCAACCAACACTTCAGCTACGTCTAATTAATTTATTCAATAATGAGACTATCTCTAAAATCATGAAAGTGAACTTTGATAAACAACAGGTTACTTTCTTAATGATATCGTTGTGAATGAAAGTTTTAATCATGAAGAACCAACATTTTTTTTCGTTTTAAATTTTCAACAGGTCCTTTTAAGAAGTTAATTATAAAGAAACTTTAAATTATTTTAAATTGAAACTCTTAAAATTTCAATCATTTTGCAAGTTTTAAGACTAGCGAAACTCATTTGATATCATTTTGGAATGAAGGAATACCTGATATGATAGTTTCAACTATTACTATTAATGGAATTGATCCCGATTATGATTTCTCGAGACTTTGCGATTCTACTGACACTATTTTTCTATTCCAATTCGCTGAAATGGTTGGATGTTTTCAATTTTGTTTTGTGTATAAACATGAACAATGATTTATTTATGCATATTCATATACATACACATACGGTCTAATCATTATGACCTCATAATAGTGACCTTATGCATCCAACAGCTCGCTCTTATAAATTAATTATGAAGAAATTTTTAGTGAAATAATTACTGTTTGACAATAATTTAGAAGAACAGAACAGAAATGTCAGGAATATGTTTCAAAGCACAGTTAAGTTTTACAAAATATTTCGATCAATGTTCACACGCAATGAATTTCACAACCGTAAGTAGCTGATCTATTTGGCGAAAAATTTTTAATTTTATTAATTATGAATGTCGCATGAAGAAATTTCAAATAAGCATAACATTTCTTCGCTATCACTGATCTCCAGAATTTGATGCTTATTTTTGAAATTTCTTCTGACTAATTAAAATCTAAACAAGCTTTTGTTATCATCTCCTGCAATCAATCTTATCATCAATCTACATGATTTGATGCAATAATTGGCCTACCCTCCTATAATCGGTCTATTAAGTATTTAATTTGCTCATTTATCTTTCATTCAGTTTAAATAGGCAGATAATGCATAAATATGCATTAAAAGATTTGTAATAAATGGATAATGTATAAATATGCATAAATGAATAAACATGAAATTAAATTGAATTTTTTATTTAGCAAAAATGCCAATTAATAAAATCGTTATTGGATAATTCTCGGCGTGATAATTATAATAGAATGAGAGAGCAGAAGATAATCAAATATGTGATCAATACAAATAAAACTAAATTTAAAATAAATTTTAAAAAAGGAAATCGGGAAAAAATTGATGAATGGCAATTGCATAGCTTCATTTGTATAACAGCAATTTGTATCTTCCACAATGTTCATAGCAGCATATGTGGAGGTCAAAAGGGTCAATGTAAATATCCATGACTTAATTTATGAATAGAATGAAAATTTTTTGTTTTCAGGATCAGACATATGAAAGCATCCTGCCAACTTTTCTAACTGTAGCTGTTTGCAGTTTAATTACATGCTTAGTTGTAATTTATATCTTTATCACTATAAATCTCGTGTTAAAATTGGGATTCAAAGATGATAGTCGAATTAAACGGTGACTTTATTGCTTGTAATTGGAGCAAACAGACTTGGATACAGATTCATTTTTAAAAATTAACTTTCATTGATATATTTCAAAGTTTCCGGTTCAAAGTTTTTTTACAACTTGATTTTTTTTAGATTTTAAAATTTTTGAGTTTTTTTAGTAAATTTTATTTTGAAATGAAAAACTTTTTGAACTTTTCCTTGATGAAATAGAATATATGTTAAGAATATCAATATTGAAAGCAGCAATATTCAGTGATGGTTCCTTGAATGCTGCAGAAAATTCATGTGAATGTGTAAGATCACAAGTTTTTCCGAGCAGTACTGAATCAGGAAGTCTGAATTCAGCAAAATCTCAAATCAAGTTTTCCCCAAAGCACACAGTTTCTGCTAACTCGTCATTTTGTGGTTCGATAGGATAGTATCCTAAAATGTGCCCCATCATTTCTATATCTTTCATATTGTTTTAAATGGTAATTACTAATTCTTAAAATAAACTCAAGAGTTGACCGTTACAATCTTAGCTTCAATCACAACAATTGATAACTTTTCATAATGCCAGAAGATAATAACTACTTTGCTTCATTTTATTTAAGCGCCTGTATCTAATCATATACCCAATAATACAAATTAGTTATCGTGCTAAAAAATGTTGACTAAATTACGAAAGATCAAGCCTTAATTTTTTCATTGAATTCTTTTTTTTTGTAAAAAATGATATCATTAAAAATTTTATGATGTTCATAGAATTTTCAATGATATTTTTGCGAACTTTTTTTTTCTTTTTTAAATTTTAAACAATATGATATGCAGTAGCTCCATCATGTGATGATGGATAAACAGTGTCAAGACATTATTGAACAATTAAAATTAAGGAATTTTAGATAAGCTATCGGATGCAATCACGAGTTGACGGTATGTTTAATAAGTCGAATTCAATCAGTTAATGGAATGATTGCATTGAACGGATCGATTCGTTCAAGACTTATATCAATCGTATACGTCATCAATGAAGCGTACATGCTTAGTATAAATTTACTAAATTCTGATTCACTTTTTAAACATATTTTCATTGGTGTTTTACATGAATTTCTCTCTGCATTTTATTTTCTCAATTTATATTGAACACTCTTTGCGTACATTAAAATTCCTTCAAATTGTCAAGTTCTCTTTTTGATGTACAGTGAGTACCCATTCTTCTAGCTAAATATTAGCAATGTATACAATATAGTACTGTACAATTTTTCATCCATGGCATATATGAAGTACAGTATTTGGTAGATTTACTTCATCGCATACTCAATATTATTTTCTCTTGTAAGTCGAGGAGCACTATAACTTCTTATGCTGCTCAAAGTCAGTGTTGTTTTTGATCAAAGTTGGCATACAACGTCGAAATATTTTAAATTTTGGAAGAGTAGTATAAATTCATACAACATTAAGTACGATTATGCGAACATTTATCATAAAATCATTTTTGATATGAAATATTATATCAGTTCAAAGCATATATCACACCTTAAAATTCGAAATACATGTTTTTCTTAATCGATTAATCATGAAAAAGCATTATTTTCTTTTTCTCTCCTTGAGAAATTCCATTTTGTTTATTTATTGCTTTCATTTCAAAAAAGAAATTTTTGTTAATACTATCACTAATATAAGTAAATGAATTCTCGTAAACTCGAAATATTTCTTAAACAAAGGAGAATATTTGGAATGAACATTATAGGTAATCAAATAACTAATTCAAAATAAATGGAAAAGAACAAATCCTTGACAGTAATATATTCAATTCTATCCTCATATAAACAAACTTCATAAGCAAATATGTCAATCCCGATGAGATTCAAATTTTCATAGCGGCGTGCATGACTGTATTGGCGTCCAAACGGGCAGTGTCACGTAGCTATCTGAGATCTTCCTGCTTTCCACGTTGACTGCGTCGAACTCTAACGTAACTGTTATTTTTGGGAAGCTATTTCTCGTATTTTGCACCTGATATACACTAAAGTGACCGTTTTTATTCAGTTAAGGAATGACGTCCTTTCATGATCTTTTTGCACAATCCTCTTTTAGGGATAGTGTAAAGTTGATAATTTTGGCTGCAGCAAAATTTGTAAAAATGTTTGTTTATGTGGATTCTTTACTTCAGACGAGGTTACCTCCATTGTTTGTATTTCTTAAAAGGGTGAAATTTTTTAATGAAACTTTTAAATGTCCTGTAATTGAAAGTAATAGCATATCAAATATATAAATTTAAACGGTAAAAAAAAATGTGCACATCTTATATAAGTCTTTTTATCATTGTTTTTTAATTTAATGTGAAGTGCTTTTGCTGGAGTTATGTTTTTTATGAATTTATGTCTCTGTTCGCTTGATATCTTTTAAATTACTAATTTTAATTACAAGTGTTTCCAGGATCACGTTGAATGTATTTAAACGATTGAGAAAAAATGAAACATGGTGAAGCAGAGAAGCTATTTCTTGAAAAAATGGCTGTTCTTAATAAAACATTTCTCTATTTCATCCAATGTTCCCTGAAAGAAATGCCTGATGGGGATCTGGTAAATATTTCATTCCTTTTTATTTGGTCAGGACATTTCACATATTTTTTTTTTCTGAAATAATTTTTTAAACTATCCTTCGAATTATGAGAGTAAGTCAAGCCCTGTTTTATTCCGTTATAGAATTTATTTGCAGTCACCCTGTGTTCGTGATTATCTGAAACATGTCGAAGAACTGGATCGAACTTATGGAAATATGCTTAACGAGGATAGTACCAACACGTCCAACGATAATGGTAACAAAGATGAAGTTATCAATGAATTACCGAAAACAACCGCATCAGAAAAAGATGTAGGTGATGGAAGTGAAATAATGGTGAAATCCAACATAGCTCAAGAAAAATCTTTATCCAACACGATTGCTATGTTTAGTAACACTACAAATCCAGGAAATATTTCAAAACCCTCTATTGATATATCTACAACATCATCAGCTGGATCAGGTAAAAAGAGTTACTTCTTGTTCTCTCTAAAATTTTTCACTTTCAAAGGCCAGTTATGCACTCATTTACGGAGTTATTATATTTTATTTCGAACAATGTCAACATTTATATGGCTTCTAAATTTTTTTAATGACGAAATATTGCATGATTAAAGTGTTCTATTTTGTTGTTAGATTTATTATTCTCAATGCTGGAATAGATTATCCGGCTTTTGAGGCTTGAAATTCATGTTGAAAAGTGTTATTTTTTAAGTCAGTTTCCCAAAATATCATATTGTCGAATCTTAAATTTTTTTGCTTTAGTCTAAAGTTCTTAGATTTTTTTTTACTTTATCCCAGAGTTCTTAGATTTTTTTGCTTTATTTCAAAGTTCTTAGATTTATACTTGACCACTTGCATTAAATTTGTTCTAATGGAAATTGTCTTTTTCACATTTCGTACTCATATGATGGTAATTTTCAGTCCTTATTTGCAATTATCTATGGTTAAAAAATTTTAATTAAGAATCTAAGTTTGCTGTTTCTTTTTCTTATATTTCAGAAAAACGAGGAAGGAAAAGAGCGAAAAAAGGTGGACCTGAAGGAGGAGATGAAGAAGTAATTATTACGAATCATGTAAGTTCTGTAGCTACTTTTTACAGTACTTTTTTTTTCTCGTTGTTGTATAAACTGTTTCTTTGCCAAGAGACTTTTTTAAGTGAAAAATTATCTTTGAGCAAATTATCTTTTTTTTTACTACCTTTAAGCAGGATAAGAAGGTATCGAAATTGTTCAGTTTAATGCCAAAAATCGAAAAATGCTTCTACTAATCCTATTTTGCCAAAAAAGTAATAATGTTCCTCCCAAATTACAACCACTTATATATTACTTTGCCAAGAAGGTAATATGTAAGTGGTTGTAGTTTGAGAGGAATATTTTCAAAAAATTTAATTGTTATTCTGAAATGTTTCAGAATAGTCCACTTCCACGGCACTTGACAAATTCAGAAAAATGCCATATCAAAACAACGTCTAATCAAACTTCACAGTCATCTTCGCTGTCACCATTTTTCAATACCTCTGCGGCTGAAAATATTTTAAAACGAAGTTCTGATAGCAGAGATGATTCGAAAGCGGAAACAGAAAGCGGAAGCTCCCAGAAAAAAAGTACAGACGACGTTAAAGAAACAGGCAACAACAAAATCCCTTTGTTTTTATTCGGTCAAAAAGATGATTTAAAGAAAAATGAATTAAATGAATTACAAAAAAATCCGTCGAATTTGATCTTCAACAAATCGTCCTCAGAAAAAGAAGTAGTGGAAAAAATCGATGAAAAAAAGCAAGTTAAATATTTGCATTATCATGCAGACAGTTTTGGTCTTGTTATAAGATTGTTAACTGTTGTCAGGCACGTTAATTAGTTGATCAACTTGATTAGTTGTTGATCAACTTTTATTAAAACTGGAAAAAGATTGATTTAATCAGTTGGTAGTTTAGTTAAGATTCTAGTCCAAATATCGATAAATGTATCTTCTATCCTTGATCCATATACTATAGTGAACAAAGTGTGGAATCATTCAGCAAGTCTCATATAACTCCAGCGTTCTCATTCTTGAAACCGGTTGCGCGTGAAGGAAACTGTGGATTTTGTGATTCTTCGACGACTAAATTAGGTTATCTCATATTATAATTTTTCGTCTATCTAAAAATGTTACTGTGCTTAAAGTGTTCGATGATATATCAGCGCTGTTGAACATCATTTGATAAGATTGATGTTAGAAGTCTTTGACCGAGAGAATAGATTTAAGAAAAAAGAAAGCCTGTATTAATTTCATTCTGTTTCTTTATTTGTATTTTTTTCTGGTTTTACCAGAGCACATATTTTCAGATTTTAAATTCGGCACACCATCTGCTGTTCAATTGGAGCCAGAAAATGAAAGTGAGTAATTAGTGCTGATTTCTGGTGTTTTCTTCAGATCGTTTGAATGAAATGTTCATTGAATCAATATTTTCTAGGTGAAGAGAGTGAATATGTTCCACCAAAACCAGAAGCCGTATTGGTGCAAGAGCCGAAATCGATATTCTCCTCCAAGTAAGTGTTACCAAATAAGTCTTATAGCTACCTAAAGCATTCTATACACGTGTATTATAGGTGTTCGGTATTTGTGCTAAAAGGAACGGAATATGAAAAACTTGGAATTGGGCAGCTTCATATCAAAATCGATGAAAATAATAGTGTAAAAAAAATTTTACTCATCCGTGCTGCTACAGCCACCGGTAAATTTATCAATAACTATTAAGGATTTTATTTGATTGTAAATGATGAATATGAGAATGGTTTTCTCTATTCTTTAAATACAAGAAAAAACTGAAGACAAAACTAATAATGGCGGTCGGTCATACGTAATAATTGTTTGATAAGTTTGATTTTGCCAAAAAATTACAATAACCTAATTAATGCCCAGATTAAGTGGAATTATCATCTTGAGTTCAAAAAGGAAGATTGAAGAGAAAGAGCTGTAGCATGCAGCTGCCTTTCATGCTGCTGGGTTTAATTTTTTTAATATTGTGGTAACGATATTTATGCTGAGATTAAATATTTTGCAGGTACTGTGTGGGTAAATTCGTATATCGATGAATCGATGAAGCATGTGACCATTGATGACGTCAAATTAAGGGTATGTGTTCAATACCATGAAAGGATAGCAAACTTTTCGTTCAATTAGATTTTCTTTGTTGAAGAATGTACTTTGCAATCACGAAAGAAAACACTGCTAAAAATAAAGAACAGTATTACGTCTTGAACTGTATAAATGGAATACATTTTCGTACATACAGGGCTGCGGTCTGAGTCTGACTTCAAAATAGGAAGATAGAAAAGTATATGAATATGTGGGGTTGTGCTAACAATACCGGTTATCACTTCCTATCACAATAACTTGAGATAAATTTGGTCTAATCACCATGGGATTCTGTTCAGTTTGCTACTCATCGCATCAGCATTTAGGAAGTGAAGTGAAGTTAGTGAATGGAAACTTTCAGATAAGTTGTTTGTCAGGTGGATCACCATCAACGTATTTGTTACGTCTACCGAAAAAAGAAGATCGTGATCAAGTGGTCGTAGAACTTCAAAGCCATAATATTTCAACTTGAAGAATTACTTGTGACTGTTGTCGTTTTGTTGCTGTAGTATTTTTTACAGCGTTATTGCCGTTTGATTATTGTTTGTAGTTAGTCCCACCACTGTTTGAATACAAATTGAGTAGATATTTTCCAATAAATCAGTTCGTTTTTTTAATATGGTTATTGACGAGCAGTTTGTGGCATACTCCTTTTGCGATACACTCCTTACTAAGAATGATGCTGACATAGCTGAAGTTTTTTAGCTATGACAACGTGTAATTTTCACCATAGTGGGATGATTTGTGGGAAGGGATTTATGTTCCTACTGTCATGCCTATTCAATGTATTGAAGTAGGATACGGTCTGTTTTAATAACTTGTAAAGGAAAGAACAGAAGAGTATGAATGGAATGAATATGTGGAGATATTCATGTTTATGTTTCTACATGCCTATATCAAAGTTTGAACAAGTAAAAAGCGACACGAGAGGGGCATGATTCCCGGGAAGTAAATTTAACGAACACGATATTGGATCCGGGGCGTTTGTGCAAAATTAGTTGCTGCATTAATTTTCGCCTCCGCATTGTTCTACGTCCATTTTTATTGTCGGATTGGATTCGTGTCTAATTTAACGAGTTATGTGGCTTCACTTGTAAAAATTTCATTTATTGTAGTGATCAAAATGATTCTTGAGCTGCAGTAGTTGAGTATTGTCCTGGAGGCAAATCTTTTTTGCAGTATGCTCAGCATTTTGGCAGATTTTCATATTCTATTGGATAGTTCGTGTGCGTGTTGTGAGTGTGCGGTCGGTCGGTGATCGTAAGGGTGGACTGTTGCATTCTGCATACGTAGACAAATGATATGATACATGTTTATGCGTTTTAAGTAAATAGGTAGCATGTATCACGCATTTCACAAGAGAAGGGGGATAATTTGACGTTTTCACGTGAGAAACAGTTTGTGCTCTTTTTCCTTCCTAGTATCTCTCCATTTTATTATTTGTCAACAGTAATGATCGGTAGCAATATAGATGATATTTAAACTCAGGGATAACGTCCCCTCAAAATTTTCAGCTAATATGGATCATTTTCTTTGCAGGAAAGAATATTGATCTAAAGAAAAGAAAATTGTGTTGAGAAGATTTGAGGGATTCCTACGGAATGTCCAGCAAAGGTTAATTTAATATTTGAAACAAGTTGTTAAAAACATTTGCACTGTGATCAAACTATAACTTTAACCTGGACGGTTTACAATTGTAGGAGTGAGCTATGACTTATTGTTCTTTTTTTTGAACGGAATTGGAAACACCGATTGTGGGAGAGTTATTATCAGGGATTAACGTCTAGGGCATGTTCCTTCGATTATTCTGAACTATCTCATGCGAAGCAGTCTTGAGGGTGATATACTTTGTTGGAATTGTAAATAAAGTGCTGTAGATGAGAATGACATTATAGCGGAAAACAATAACACTATTTTTATCACAAACTTTTCAAAACACTGCTGCATTTATCGGTTGATGGTAGTACTTGCTTTATTGGTCCATGATGACTTGCATGATTAATATTAAAAGGAATAATATGGTTTTGAACTGCCTACACTTGTGTAGTGTACTTCCTAACTGATTCTCTAATTGCAAATATGAGTGTTATAAATAGTTTTATAATTGTGTAGAAATGCTATTTCCAGTATTGAATTAAATAAATTGGTATTTATTTAAATTTAATATAACCTTGAGTTTGCAGGTGTTGAAACGCAAATTGTGACACGGAAACGGCACCTTGAAGATGATAATGAAAACAGTGAAAATGCGCTGGGAAATGGAAATAGCTTTGATAAGATTGCATTTGGATCAGCGGGCGGTTATGACACGGCAAGTTGTTCTTATGAATTCTACATTCGGAAAGTATTTTAGAGCAAACGAGATTGAAAACAGTGTCTGACACGTCCACAAATATTACTTTTTTAAAGTATGCCTTTCTGTTTCCTCTATTGCAGAGAGTTTTCAGTTCTGTTGTCATGCAGGGAGTTTTTAGTAAATGCGTATTTCGTAAACACATAAACAACGGTAGAATATGTGATGAGTTAATGCAGTTTTTTAGGACGTATACGGAAGCGTTCGAGGACAGCGTAAAAATGATTACTTGACATCAATAAATGCTGGTGATGAGGAGGAAGATGCGGAAGATGAACTGGTTGGCCCGATGACTGCTGCTAAGGCAGCGTTTTCTGCTCCGAAACGCTTCGTAGAGGAAGCTGCAAGACATGGACAGGTACTGTTATTTAAAATCTGTAGCAAATTTTTAATTGTTCCAATTTTTCATTTTATGTTTCTTCTATTGTTATGCAGGGAGACGATCCTTTTGCGGAAACGAGAACAAAAACAATTGCCGAAAGGCAGAGTAATTATCAAGCAAGAGCTCGTCAGCGACAAATTTCTCCTGAACGAGCGGATATGTTTGGTTCGTGATTTCCACAACTCTCTAGTTTTTATTATTTAATAAAAAAGGATTAAATTTAGGTATTATATTCATCTCTCTCAAGTCAGGAAAGTCACAAGTAGGAGGTCTCATCTAATTTTCTTTTTCACTTGTTTATTGAGGCCATGTATTTTAGCTGATCAAACACCTGATGTTCGGGATCGTTCTTATGCACAGATCATGAAGGAACAGATGTTACGTGAAGAAACGGTTTGTTATTACACTATTATATTAAAGTTTAAGAAAAAAAAATAAACTATTCTGTATACTCAGAAATGTATCTCTCATAATTTATTGCAAATTGCATCAAAATTTCCATTCTGCTGTTTTGCAGGATAAAGTGGAGAAGGAACTGAGTGATAAAGCAAAATCTGGTGAATTGAAAATTACGAAACCTACTGCTCCAGCGCAGAAAAGAGGTCGTTGGGATGAGACTCCAAAAATTGAGGCTCTCGGTGCGGGAGCTCTAACACCTTCTCAGACACCTGGTTCCACCCAGCGAAAACGGCTAACACTTACGTCGAATATATCAGCTGCCGCAGCAGAAGTAAGCATTGATGAATATTCATGTAGTAGGTTGGGAAATATCTACTAAGGTAATGAATGTTTTAGATTGCAACTCCACGTGTTGCCCGCTGGGATGAAACACCAGCTCATGCTGCAGGGGTTGATGCAACTCCTACTTCCGGAGCAAAAGCATGGGATGCGACGCCGTCAACTCAAACGCCTCGTCGAAATCGTTGGGACGAAACTCCACATGGTCTCATATTTTACAGCTCATATCTTAATAGGAACATTTTCATTTGAATGTATAAAAAGATATTTCATGCAGAAACTGTCAAAAAATTGATGTACTAGTAGAAATATATAATTTGCAGAATCTGTGCGTGATGGAATGACACCATCAGCAAGGGAAGGAATGACTCCGGGTTGGGGAGCCGAGACTCCTCGTGACGCTCGTGCGTTTGAAGATGTCAAAGTAACTTTATTTTTAATATTGGTCCACTATTTGGTGATACTACTGTTTTAGATCTTTTGACCCGTAACTTGAGCTAATTCTGACTCATCTCTGTACGATCAACTTACATCTTGTTTAATGTCAGAATGTTTGTTGCATTAGAGAATGTTATATGTGATTTTACAGATTGAGGAGACACCAGGTGAATCAAAACGCCGATCGCGTTGGGATTTGACCCCATCTGCTGCGACACCGGTCGCCGCAGCTGCAACACCATCAAGTACTCATATGGCTGGCGGTGCAACACCATCAGGTTTCACTCCAAGTGGAGCAGGAATGACACCATCAATGATGACACCTGGCGGAACAACACCTATTGGTACACCTGCAATGGGTCTTAAAACTCCAATTATGCCTATGGTACCGATGACACCAGATCAGATGGCACTTTTCAAGTGGGAAAGAGAAATCGATGAAAGGAACAGGCAATGATTTCATATATAAAATTATACTTTCCTCGTAAGCACTATTCAGTCGAAAAGATAGATGAAGGCAGTTAGAATTGGTTTAATACTGTTGAGATAAGTGGCATGCCAATGATGCAGCTTTCTGTTGGGCATAAATAAATTTGTTGCAGAGTACAACTGAATGCTGATTTTGCTGACGGGATAGATATTAGGGTTCTTAGCAGTTATTTCATTTATCTTTAGAATTTTATTTTGAATTGAGGAATCTTGATTATTTTTATAGCTGAAAGAGAAGTGATTTAAGGCCCTTATCCGATGAAGAATTGGATGCATTGTTTCCACCGGGATACAAAGTGTTGCCACCACCCAATGGTTACATACCACTTCGAACCCCAGGTCGTAAGCTTTTAGCAACACCAACTCCAATGGGAGCAACAGGAACACCAATGGGATTCATCATGCAGGGAACACCTGAACGACCTGGTTTGGCTGATAAAGGTATCATTTGTATCTTGTGACTTTTCAGAGGTTTCAACTTTTTATCTCAGTTGAACTTCCAGTCCATCTCAGCACAAATATCAAAAATTTTCAATTTGCTCATGATATCAATCTTATGCAATTTTATCTACCTCGAAAAAAGGTGGAACTGTTGAAGGTATTGAAAACATCCCTCTTCCAGGTGTTGCTGGATTAATTGATACTCAACCAAAAAACGCAGAGTTGCCACCATTGAAACCAGAGGATATTCAATATTTTGATAAGCTTTTGATGGAAGTAGACGAAAGCACATTGAGTAAGGAAGAATTGATTGAGCGTGAAATTATGACTTATCTTTTAAAAATCAAAAATGGAACACCTCCACAACGGAAATCTGGATTGCGTAAGATCACAGAAAATGCAAGACGTTTTGGAGCTGGAGCGCTTTTTAATCAAATATTACCTCTTTTGATGTCTCCTACACTAGAGGATCAGGAAAGACATTTGATGGTAAAGGTTCGTACGTTTGGTATTTTGTGTGATTTAGTTTACAGCACTGTTTGTTCTAAGTTTTTACAAAGTTCTGTTCTCGATAATATTACCATTTTTATCTATGTACTAATAGTGGACGACTATAAAAATCTCTGCACTGCGAAAGATAACCATCTTTGCATATGTCTTAAACTTTTTCTAATGATGGCCGTGTTTTTTTTTTGTCATTATGTAGTTTATCACTCATTTGATTTGATATTTATTATGTAACATAATCTTACAAGAAATTTGTATGCAGGTTTATAATGAGAATTTCTTCAGTAGTATGTGGCTATGTTTTGCTTTAAATTTTTAGGTGATCGATCGCGTTTTGTATAAACTTGATGATCTCGTTCGACCGTATGTCCATAAAATATTGGTCGTTATTGAGCCGTTGTTGATTGATGAGGATTATTACGCACGTGTTGAAGGAAGAGAAATTATTTCAAATCTTGCAAAAGCAGCTGGTAATTCAACATAATTTTTTTAAATTTATTTGATGTGTAATTAGACGATTATATGGAGCTCGCGCTCACTCGAACTATTTAATTGTTAGTCTTTATTTGATCTAAAGGTTTGGCAACAATGATTTCGACGATGCGACCAGATATTGATAATGTTGACGAATACGTACGGAATACAACAGCTCGAGCTTTTGCTGTAGTAGCTTCCGCTCTTGGCATTCCAGCTCTTCTTCCGTTTTTAAAAGCAGTTTGCAAGAGCAAAAAGAGTTGGCAAGCAAGGCACACGGGTGTGTTTTTTTTCGTTTGCTTCTTGTGAGTTTTCAATTTTCTCTGGGATGCTTTTTGTCCATTGCGTGGAATATCGTAAAAATTTGGGTGACGATACAGTTTTTATAAAAACATGGCATGATAGTAAATCATTGACTGGAGGATCTTGAATATTTTTGCTCTTCTAGTAATCCGTACTTTTCAGGTATTAAGATAGTGCAGCAAATGGCTATACTTATGGGATGTGCAGTTTTGCCACATCTCCGTTCACTTGTTGAAATTGTGGAAACAGGCCTCGTTGATGATCAGCAAAAGGTGATTTAATGGAGCCTTTTTTTATTAATTAATATCAATAATAAATAACATTTATGCAATCGAATATAGCATCAAGAAGAAAATTCATTTTCAAATGATGCGAATTTTATTACTGCGCGTATCATGGTTGAATAAAACATAGCTTACAAAATTTTCAAAGTTTTCAGCGTTTTTTTAGCATGGTTTGATTGAATTAATAAATGGAATTTTTAGGAGAAAAAATCATTGAAAAATTTTCAGGTTCGGACAATAACAGCTTTGTGTTTGGCAGCTCTTGCTGAAGCTGCAACTCCATATGGTATCGAGGCATTTGACTCTGTTTTGAAGCCACTTTGGAAAGGTATTCGATCGCATCGGGGGAAGGTTGTGTTTTTATTTTCAGTATCCAATCTTCATTCATTCTTTCTGGTGAACATGTTATAAGCATAATTTTCAGGGTCTTGCTGCCTTTTTAAAGGCAATTGGTTTTCTGATTCCATTGATGGATGCTGAATATGCATCTTATTATACACGTGAAGTAATGCTTATATTGATTAGAGAATTTGCGTCTCCCGATGAAGAAATGAAGAAAATTGTACTGAAGGTAGTAATATATTTTCAAGTTAATGCAGAGAAGTAGCAGCAGAATGAAGTAAAAGATCTGATCTTGTTGATTGGTCTCAATATGGGCGAACTTACTGTATATATAAATATTAATTCAGTAATTTATTAAAGCATAAAAATATTTATCATAAGGTCTTCGTAATGTTGAGAGAACAGCATTTATCATAAGGTCTTCGTAATTTGTGGAACCTAGTAAATTATTATTAATATCATTTCACCAACCAAATTATTTTTCTCCTGAAAAAAAAAGAGTTTTATAGGTGGTGAAGCAGTGTTGCGCAACAGATGGTGTTGAAGCGGCTTACATCCGTGATGAAATTCTCGCACATTTTTTTAAAGCATTTTGGAACCATCGTATGGCACTCGATCGACGCAACTATCGACAATTGGTCGATACTACTGTGGAAATGGCGCAAAAGGTTTGATTCTTTTTAAGTGATTGGGATTATAGTTTTATGATGTAACTTTTGTGGCACATGCTGATAACTTTTGTTCATTAATGATATAATCGAGATTCCATATCTTAACTGTTAGCACTATTTATTATTAAAGATACTCTAGTTTTTTGTTCCTTCTTGAATATCGATGAACTGGATGCAGAGCAAAATTCGATACAAAAGAATAAATTTTGTTTAAAGGGCGGAAGTGATGACTGCAGTTGAAAAATCATTTATATTTTGAGGTGGGTTCAGCAGAAATGATTGCACGAATAGTGGATGATCTGAAGGATGAAAATGAATTGTATCGAAAAATGGTTATGGAAACAATTGAAAATATTGTTTCATTGATGGGAGCTAATGAAATCGATGCACGTTTGGAGGAACAGCTTATTGACGGTATTGTGTATGCTTTCCAAGAACAAACGCAGGAGGTATGTTCTATTTTAATATTTCTAGCCTAGGTTTATGAAAATTGTTACTTTATGACACACTTTGTAGGACGCGGTAATGTTGGATGGATTCGGTACCGTTTGCAAAGGTTTGGGACGGCGTACAAAGCCATATCTTCCGCAGATCTGTGGTACTATATTGTGGCGTCTCAATAATAAATCTGCAAAAGTTCGACAGCAGGCTGCCGATTTAGTACGTTCTGGTCATTTTTTCTGTAGAACAATACACAAATGAAAGACCTGTATATTTAGACCATACAAATGTATTTGAAAAAACTCGATTTGAAAAAATTTTTCTAGCCTGCTCAGCTCTAGAATGAACGGTATGTTATATTTTTATTTTTAGTTAATTTGAAATTATTAGCGATTAGTATTGCAGATAGCCAAGCTCGCTCCAGTTATGAATATTTGTCAAGAAGAGAAGCTTATGGGGCATTTGGGCGTTGTTTTATATGAGTATCTTGGTGAAGAATATCCAGAAGTGCTGGGATCAATTTTGGGTGCTCTAAAAGCAATTGTTAACGTTATTGGCATGACAAAGATGACACCACCAATTAAGGATCTTTTGCCACGTTTGACACCAATTTTAAAGAATCGGTACTTGTTTGATGTTTGAAAAATCATGTTATTGATGTTATCAAATGGTGTTATGTTATTAATATTCTTTGTCTCTTGAATCATAATAACTACGTCCAAGTAGACAGAAATGAGGTCAGTGAAGCCCCCCTCATATTTGTTTAGTAAGGTTTTCATACTTTTAAACATTTCATTTAATTATTTTACGTTTTAATTTAGTTTTTATCTGTGATTATTTTGGATAAGGTGTTAAAGAATCGATGATTAAAAAGTAAAGTCAGGGATCTTTCAGACATGAAAAAGTACAAGAGAACTGTATTGATCTAGTTGGTCGCATTGCCGATCGTGGAAGTGAATTTGTATCAGCTCGGGAATGGATGCGTATATGCTTCGAATTATTAGAATTATTGAAAGCTCATAAAAAGTCGATTCGTCGGGCAGCAATTAATACCTTTGGATACATTGCAAAGGTTAAACTTGGTTTTTTTGTCATAAAATGAAAATTGATCTATCGTCTTTCATCAGCACGGTGCACAAAACTCGTTGAACTTATTTTGTTTTAAATCAATCCCTTAGACATCCCTTCGTCCTCTTGTATATTCTAATTAGCATCATATTGACGTGACGCACGTCCTCCAAAAGGAAGTTTAGGTTTTTCGTCTCCCTATCTTTAATTTAGGGGCCCACCACCATTGATGCAGATCGTTGGTATTGCGAGCGGCGTGCACCAAGGTAAGTAACGAGTTTGTTTCTTACTTGATTAGTCGTTTACTTTTATGACAGAAATATGTTTCATCATTGCAAACGGTTGTTTTGATATTTTGCGGATTTTGGAAAGTATTTTTCTGTCGATTTAATTTCATTCAAATACAAAAAAGGATTTTGCTAAATTGCGGGAAACACCTAAAGCAACCGTTGTTATTTTCTCAATATACCGACCAGTGAAAATAGTGTGGTTTGTCATCCGTAACGAAATTAGTGGATTACGAAGAAAAAGGATGCAAAGTCATGGAGAAATGAAGTTCGTCAACTTATGATGCAAAATATCGCTTTGTATATTTGCATAAAATTTTAATCACAGTCTTTCATCGTTCAAATAGCATGCGTGTATTGTGAAGAGCAAAATCATAGCATTTTAAGTTGAAATTTTAGTTAAATGTGCAAATGACACAGTGGAAATTGAGCCGAGCGTGGATATACAGCATATGTTCCGGCGACCATGTTGGGATCTGTGCGATTTTTGTAGTCTTTCAAGAAGTTTTTTTGAGTGGAAAATCTTGTGTTACATTTAAATTTAATCCAAAATCTAGAATTTAATTTTATTTTAATTTTCGATAAGTTAGGGGACTTGAAGCGTAAGTTTGCTTTTATTAAAATTTGTTCAGTAGAAACATTACATTACTTTTTATTTTGTTCTTTTCCTATTACTATTCATATGTTCATATGTAGTTTGTTACGAGCTTTTGCTTATAATCAAAAGAAATGCGTAACATTTTTTTAAAGGGACGGATAATTTTTTCTTCTGCAATGATATGGTTAGTTATTGGCATATGTCTTTGCAGGCAATTGGTCCCCATGATGTTTTGGCAACACTTCTTAACAATCTCAAAGTACAAGAACGCCAGCTGCGTGTATGCACTACAGTTGCTATTGCTATTGTGGCCGAAACATGTGCGCCGTTTACTGTGTTGCCAGCTATAATGAATGAGTATCGTGTTCCGGAGATCAACGTGCAGAATGGAGTTCTTAAAGCACTTTCCTTCATGTTTGAGGTTTTCTGCCATAAATTTATCGGATTATATTGTTTTTTTAGACCGACGATTAGTGCAATACGCTAATAGAGATTTTAAGCTTTCGAAAAGCCATGAAAGAACATTGTGAAAAACTTGATAGTTTAATTTAACGGGCAATATCAAATCATTAGTAATTATATGTTATTCGTATGACTTAATTGATACATCTTTGTTTAGTACATTGGAGAGATGGCCAAAGATTATATATATGCAGTTACTCCTCTTTTAGTGGATGCCCTAATGGAGAGGTGAGTCTCAACTTTTGAAATTTCTGTTGCTGTTTATTTTTTTTATTATGCTCAGCCAGATGTAAATTTTGAATTTCATCTTAATGTGCTGAGAAATGCATGTTTTCTCCTCACGGAAACTTTACGTGCTGTAGTGTTAGAACATTTAATGTACTCATTTTACAGCTATTTCAGTATTTCTGCAAGCATTTCAATCCCTTTTTTAGCATATTCATCCGATTCACGGAATTCTTACATCTTGTTGGCCTGTTATTTGATCTCATATAGCATAAATATTCATATAGCACGTGATTTGCTCTGTATTATTAAATAAATTATGCATTGTTGCAATTTCTTTCAGAGATATTGTACATCGTCAAATAGCAATGGACGCTGTTGCGCACTTAACTTTAGGGGTTTACGGTTTTGGCTGTGAAGATGCATTAATCCATATTTTCAATTATGTTTGGCCGAATATGCTTGAAAATTCACCGCATGTAATACAACGGTAGGCTTTTTCTTAACTGTCATTGACACCAATTCTCTTTGCATATTGAAATTTGATACACATAGAATGTTTTAGATTTGTTTTTGCATGTGATGCTATGCGCGTATCGCTCGGCCCGATCAAAGTACTTCAGTATTGTCTTCAAGCTTTGTGGCATCCAGCAAGAAAAGTTCGCGAACCAATTTGGAAGGTGATGTTTTTTCTGTTACTGTGAAATATCTAAAATGTGACACAAAGTTCTTTTTCAAACAGGTAAATTTTTGCCCACAATCATTTTAAATATGTTTTATTATGTACAGAGCACCTGCTTAGCGCTATAGTTCTTGCCTTTCAACAGTGATGCACGACAGTACCATAGTTTTTTTTGAATTTTCAGGTCTTCAATAATCTGATCTTAGGATCTCAAGATGCTTTGGTTTCTGGATACCCGCGAGTACCTAATACTGAAAGGAACAGTTTTGTGAGATACGAGCTTGATTATGTACTTTAATCTATGAGGCACTTGTAGCGCTCTTGGTGATTTTCGGAATGGTCTGTATGTTGTTCATTTTTCTACTAGCAAATTGATGTGAATATTTCTTTTAGGCATAACAGCGCCGTGAAACCAATATTGTTCATTATAGATTGAAAGGAATATGTGCGGAGTCTCTAATAAGTATGTATCTCACTTTGAGAAGCTTAGCAATAAATGATGGAATCATCATTTTGTGTTGAAAGAAAAACAACTTGATGAATATAGCGGCAGTTATGTTTTTTGAAATATTGGGTTTTATTATATAGTGGCCACGTTGAGAATTCCGTGGTTTTGTTTTTTGAAAATCACGTATGAAGGATAAGTTAGAAACATGCATTCGTTTTGTTCAGAAATCAATTGCGAGTTAATTTAAATATTTTAAATAGCAGTTGCTATCGTGATTCTGTGTTTCATTTTTTTTACCCTCTGCCAACAATGGTTTCTATAGTTGAGATTGTTTTGTTCGAATAAACGTTGTGTAAATTTGTTTTGGTTCATTTCATAAAAAAGACACTGCAAAAACAGCTGGCGGATTTGTTTTCTGATAATTCATGATAGGTGGATTTTAGATCTTTTCATAAGATGGAGTTTCGTAACGTTGTTAATAAAAACTGCGGTACGTCGAATATTCTGGAGATATTTTCTTCTTATGCGCTATGTTGAGAACTTGTGGTGAAAATCGGGAAGATTTCTGGAACTTTCGAATACTATCGATGAGCATTATCCAGAGAAGTGTCCAAATAGGAAATATCATATTGAGGATAGGATGTATATGAGGGAATGAAGGAAATATAACTTGTTGGAAGGGTTCACATGAATATGTCCCTCCGCAGCCGTAGTCGGATGCTTTTGAGAAGGATAGCAGCTTTTGCCATAGGATGTATACAACCTGATCTGTAACTTTCAGGGTTATGTGTGAGATATATTTGCATAGATGTAAATGAAACCGAAACAGGATAACGTATTTCGTGTTTATCTGTGCAAGAAAGGTGACAAGAAATGTAAAGGAAGGAGATGTGACGTCATACTGGTAATGCGATATTTCTTATATACATTTGAACATTTAATATAATTAGCGAATGTTTCGAATAGTCATATTTGAATGTAAATAATATATACTATTCAGTGGCGTTTCTTCTGAGATTTCATTATACCATCTATATAAGATGAGAGCTATTTGTAGTTTTGTTTTGGATACGATAGTTATAAAGCCTGTCGGGCATATTGATCAGAACGGTGCATGCTCATTAATTCTATATTTTTTATGATCAGAACATTGTTTCTGTTTTTAGAGCAGTAAAGATCTCCCTGGATTACGTTTGGGTAATATATTAGAGATCTCACTATCGCTGGATCAGCGATTTTACGTACAGCATTTGCACGAAGATGTGGAGAGTGGGACATACAGAGAAAGACGCATTTATATTGAGAAAGCTATTGCCGATATGTTTTCGCTTTCTCAAAATCAATATGTTATGGTCAAAATCATCGAAAAAAAGGAGGTATTCTGATAAAAGCTTGGACTATAACGAATGTAACTTAAGTACTCGTATCAAATCTCTTGTTTCTCATGCTTTGTTAATTAAAATATTGTATTACACTGGTTCAATAGATTTATTCCCTTATCCATAACATCATCATTGGTTAAGCTAGTAAACGTAATAAAAATGACTTTGTTCCAGTTCCACTGTAAGATTATTGAATTTCTATTAGGAATATCTTAGAATAGAAGTAGAATCAAATTTACGCAGGTAATGTTGGATAACATCGAGATCACTATAAAAGAACGTTATGTTAGTCGATCCGATATGTGGCGCTACCGGGATTGCCTTATTGACACTTGTACATATATTGGAAAGAAAATGGAGTGGTTGCTCATCCCATCCACCGTTATTAACCTTTGGGCAAAAGGTGAAGTTGTAAGTATTCTATTATTATGCATACACTAGGAACTGTGTATAAACTTCTAACATTGATGCGTTTTGTTCTGAGGGCAGGTTGCACATCCAAATTTTGTCAAATTCAGTGTTGGTTTTCTTATAGATGCTTAATTTCACAGATCAATTTTTGTTATTATTTACTAGTAAAAGTTTGTCAGTGATGTCTGTAATTGTTTAACATAAGACTGCTGCATTACCATGCGTAGTGGTGGTCGTTAAGAAAGGTATTAAAGCAATTGTAGTTTAATAATACAAATACTGTTTTGTATACTTTAGATAGTATACTCAACTTGTAATATTTATTTTTAGGTAACAAGTGGTTACGTATCAAAAGATACACGTATAGTATTTCGTTCTGCAAGTGCTATGGTGTGTGTCGAATCATGATTTTTTTTTAAAGTTCACTTTTTGTTTTATTTAGTTTTATTAATAAATGTAGGAATTGTCGTATTGTCAAGATATAAAGTTATTTAGATGCTGATATATGTTCAAATGAGTTCAGAAATGTGGGATTTCGATCCATACGGTGATCTTTATTTCGAAAAATGCGTTAATGGTTTTTTTCCACAGCTGTTTGAGCAGTGGAATAAACACCATTGTGCACATTCGATAACATTTATTGTCACTTCAAGGTTTTTTTTATTTCTGGAGTAACTTGGTGAAAACTATTTCTTTATCAGTACACTACTGCAATATTCATTTCAATAGCCTGAAAGTAGGGAATTTAACTTATTTAGGTTTTCATCGAGATACTGATTCCTATCTCATGCTTCAGTCCAATATCTGAGAGACAAAAACTTCTCTTTTTGTCCAAAATTCGAATTAGGGAGTTGATGAATAGAGGAATCATTATAAATTATAAATTATAAAAATATGGGCATTATAAAACTAAGATACGAGATATTATAGCATCGTTTTTTTTTCAGATGGTATTTTAAGGAAGAACTTTTGAACGAGGAAATGAAAGAGAAACTGAGTATAGACTACAGAGGAAAATATTACGAGGTTTGATCACGAGCGCAGTTCCTCATTTTTTAAATCAATCCTGTTTCATCTTGAAGTTCTGTGTGAGATATTATATCCGTTTTGCAGGATTTTTATCGAGTTATCGTGCAAAATGAACATTACGATGATTGGAGGCATGCTGTTTTATCAAAGGTTTGAAGTTCATTTTATCTTATATGAATATTTTTTCACAGGTGCTGGAATGTTTTATTTTGTCTTATAGTTACGACTGGTCTTCAGTACGTACAAAAATACCGTGAAGGAGTTCATCTGCAAGCAACTGAATGTTTGTTTTGGATTTTCTGTTACCTTTTTTAGCTTTGCTAGTATAACTCATTATTTTCAATAATTGCTTAAGTCTTCAATTTTCTTATTGTGTCAATTCGAACTATTTACAACTTAGATTGATGCAAAAGAGAAAGAGCTTGCTGTGCTTTCAACAGCTGCTGATGGTAATTTTCTCCAAGTTCTCAATTTATCCATGAATGAATTTAGTGCCTACTTTATCAACCGCCGTTTTGAAATTGTTGGCCAACAGGTTTGAATAGTTTGAATAGTTGTAACATTTCCTCTTTTTTTCAAATTTAGATTTATATATGTTAATCGTCAATTTGAAACCGAATTTTACATGTCATTAAGTTATATATATATATAACAGCATTCTGACTTTTATAATTTGGAATTTTTAGAGAATCAAAATTTTAGATTGTTTTTGTCAGTGCAGGTGGCGGAGTTTTCAATGTTGATCGTGATATGGTTAACATGACTAAGCAGCGTCTCATTGATATGGGTATATCTCTAGATCTTGTGTGCCTTGGTGAACAACCACTTCACGCTGTTCCTCTTTTTGTTTTTCAAAGGTTATCTATTTCCATTCGAAGAGGATTAATATTGGATAAATTGGATGTTAGATTTTATTCTAGATTCTTTATTGTTGTCGCTTTAGAAGATATTTATCCGTAATTCTATCACTCATATTGTTTATTAATTAAGAACAAACGGCATTTATACTTCGGATGATTATTTAATACCACATTGGATGAATTATTCATATTATCAAATGAGCCGACGTTCCGCAATATCAATTAAATTCAAACCGCGAATTAATCTTCCGGATGAGTTGCTTCGGGTTGGATGTTTTTTTTTGTTTTGTAGCTGATTACGAATAAAAGCCATTTAAGTTTATGAATTTTTCATTCTCCTTACAGAACACTCGCAAAGGTCTGGTTATGGAGACGACTGGTTCACTTATTACTGATATGGATGCTGCCGATGAGGAAGCGTTTTCATCACTTATTGACAATATTTCTATGAAAAGTAACGCATCAGAGTTCGCAAAAGAGTCTTTGTTGAAGAAAAACTTAAATTGCGGAGACACTATATTTGTTTGTATTTTCAGTCTTTTTTCTCTTTTTATTTTTATCTAATTTTAATTTTATCAAAAGCCTCCTTCCAAATATAAAAATAAAAGGTCGAAAGGGAAGTGTAAAAAATAAGAAAAAAGCAATCTCATTTTAAACAAATTTGGAAATGAATAGGTTGTGGCATTGACAGTAGAATATTGCAAGATTGGTGGACAGAAAACAGAAATATTCTGTTCTAGTTTGTCGGGGAAAATTGTTCTATAACAGTATTGTTTTTGCTAGTTTGCAGGACGAAAACAGGTACTACAGATTTCTGATTTCCTTTCAGAAAGTTTCATTTATGACTATTATACAACCGACTGCAAAGAAGAAAAATACCGGGAATAAAATTTTCAGGAGCCGCATCATGAGGAAAGTTCATGGCAAAATAGCTCCGACAAATGTGCTGCAAGCAGTCTTTCTGAACCTAGCTTACTGGTGGATCTACCGGAATGTAAAAAATTACAAGACATATTGACTGTGATTGAAAGACGTTTTTTAATTAATCCATTTAAACTGGAAGAGTTTAGTGGTGCGCTTTTGTTTTATTAACTTCATTCTAGCTACAAAGAGATTTGTAGTCTTTTGTGGTTTTAACACTTTGTTGCATTAGTTATTAGAATAGGAAATATTTATTGACACTGTTTTCTGTCATTTCCATAACAATGATCGCTGACTGATAGTCTATTTGATGGTTGTTTTACTACTGAAAAAAGAGGTGGAAATAATTGTATCAAATTTAAAATCATTACGTGTTTACTAAACGACATTGCTTCTCTAAAATAATACTAAATACGTTACATTCAGTTCATAGTTGAACATCTCTGCTTTTAGCAGAGATAGAACTCTTATATTAGCGCAGGTTATTGTTTGAAGTTTCGAATGTAAAATATTGAGATATATTATATGCAGCTAATTCTCTGTTTTTTTGAATAATTTCCCCAAAACGAAGTCGAAAGTCAATCAATAGATAAAGGGCTAGACTGGTTTAATAGTTAGCATTGTGATTTATTTAAGAATTGGTATCCTATGCTTAGTGGCTTTGCTGTTTGTGATCAGAAGATGACACATTGTCATATTGTATAGTGCTAGATATATATGATAGTTGCAAAATTAGCAGTGTATGTTCAGTACTTACGGTTTTTTAAGTTTTATCAAGCAGCTTTCAGTACCAATCACAGCTAATCGGCGTCGTTGGATTCATGTGTTTCCAGTAGACGAACTCGGTCGTTCGAAATTGGCGCATCATTATGTATCCGGTAAAAGTGTCGTCAATATTGTACAAGTGGATGAGTCTGAACCGACTGAAACAATTATTAGTGTTAACAATTCTCCATCATGTAGATCATCCTCTGCTCAGCTTTTTGAAGATATCGGGGGCAGCAGGTTTGTAACGAATTTTGTAACTTTATTTCCACTAATATTTTCGAACATAAAACCAGTGAATTATTAGGAATATTCAGAATTGTGATTCCATCAATTCTATTTAAGGATTGCATATTTCACTAAATACCTGCTGTCATTGCTTTTAATTTTTAATATATTTTTTTCTAGCCAAAAAAATGAAGGACGCACAGAAATAATGCAGAAGAGATAGGAGCTATGCAAATTATATTTTAAATATACAGAAAATACTGTTTTGTTTTTAATTTGATTGTAAGCATGATCATAAGATTTTTGCCTAATTGTTTTTACAGGATTACAGGGCTGGGAACAGGAGGAAAGAGATGCGTTTGGGCTTGGGGTTCAACTGGTGAAGAGAAGTGGAATTCAGATATGGAAATTGGTGTTGATTGGAAATCGCTTATACGTTCAGCTCTTCTTCCACTAACCACTGATTTTTTCCCCGATAGACGCAGTATAGTTGCAGACTATTCAATGAAAGTAATTTACTTATTTCTTTGTTTCTATTACTTTCGGTTGCCGCCTATCTTAATGAGCGTTTAAGATTACAAGCGTCTTTTGGGAAATGTTTAGAGATATATTAGCTTGATTGATTAAGAAATATAGTTTTTTGGCTTACATTCAGGCATTCGCAAGTTATTAATGTAAAGAAGGAGACTGTATCCATTTTCAATGAAATGAAATATTCATTATGTTTGTTTAGTCCCATCAGCTGCCGATATATTTCGATTTAGTGGGTGAATGGTTGGAAGATTCGAATTGTAATGATTTAGAGCATCTTCGGAATCTTGTTTTTGATCAACTTGTTTATCAGCGATTGCAACGTGGTTTTCAAATAGTTCTTCTGGATAAAAAGATGTTACACACAGCTATTGGCATTGATGTAAGTTATCTTCGCAGAACTTAGCGATGAGTTGTTTGCGAGATGCAAATGTGATGCTAATGTAATATTGAATTAATCGTAGTTTAACCAGCAATTATTATTGCAGCATTTTGAAAATCTGGAATATCTTCCACCCTTCGATTTAACGTTATAGATTATTTAGGAAGAGCAGTCAGAGAGAGAATTTACGAATATGGTTTCTCGAGAATGTTTCTTATCACATAATCGAATATATCATCGTTTGTGTCTGGTAAATGATGGAATAACTGTTATCCAATTTTTACCAAGACTTAAGGAACCTCAGGAAATACCTGAAATAGCTGAACAAAGAGAATATAGATATCTGTTCCAAATACCGGACAGTCCCCAATATATTTTTTGTAGCGCAAGGTATTTTTTTAATTTCATTACTTAATTTCGCTTTAAAAACGTTTTATCTTAAAGTAACTAGAAGGTAACAGTAGTTAATAACATTGGATGATACAGTTTTACATATTGCGAATGCTCGTTATATTTATCTATAAATCGGTTGACATTAGTTCATATATTCTATGCTATTAATTGCTAAAGTAAAAGAGCACGTTGATCGATATATACCGTCTTGGTTGTGTTGAAATTGGAAATGTTTATTATCTAGATTTCAAAAATGTGATCATTCAAATGTGAATTGGAGCCTTCTTGATGTAGAACTGCAGAATCGTTCCGTTCCACGGTTATTCCAGAACGACATGAAATGTTTTGCATCGAGGTTGTTTTGTCCTCTATGTTCATTCTCTAAGATTTTGTTATCGGGATATATAATGGTATTTTATGCTTTTATATCGTATAATAAAGAGAAAAGTGAAGTAAAAAAATTGTAATGACTGTCTTTAGCTTTAGAAACGAATTTTTCTAAAAATAAATATTCCGACATTACTGTTATATTTAGGTTTTTATTAACACCGTTGTGTGCTTTTATAACGAAGACAATTATAACTGAACGTAATGGTGGTGACAAGTATATGGCACTTTTTGATCCGCCATTCTCCAAAAAGCAAGAGGAAGGATTTTTGAAATTTATTGAAGTGTTGAATCGATTCAGAAGGAAAACTTTGCCGAGACACAAGAGGTATTGACAGTTTTTGCATTAAAGAGGTTATATCACCGCTTGAAATTTTACAACGCTGTTTTTGATGTTTTAACTTTTTAAATTAATGCATTTGCAGTGGATCGAGAAAATTGCCAGGTATGAAAATGTGAATCCTTCGATAACAATATACATTCAAATTGGCTCCGAGCTAAATATCTTATTATTATGGAATAACTTCCAGATTAATGGGTTCAATGAGTGATGTCGAAAGTCGAGTATATAGCGTTGAGAATGTTGATGTTTTGTTAAATGGTTGGCGTCAAACCTGTTTGCCACTTTATTCGCAGGATTCCACCAGCCGATTTCCGTCGTGTATGTTTCTGACAATAGAATTTGTTGCCTGGCTAATGGCTAATGTTTCCGAACTGTCGAATCGGCAAGCTGCTTTGGAATTTGCAGGAAATTTGATTTCAGCTGGAAAGATACGGATGTTACAACCAAGTTTGTATTTGATCTTCCTTTGAAGAAAATATTTTAATATATTTTTCCATGCAAATACGGTATGAAAATTTTGCACATACAAATGTTTAACAACTTCATTTTTTTTACCACCGATAGATTCATCAATTCATCAGCAGTTTATTTAGGGATGAAGAAAGAAGAATGGATTAAATAGAATATCTTTTATTTCTTTTGCGGTGGTAATTTAGAATAGAATAGAGTTTTATTTGTGCGTGATTTTTCCTTCTCCTTTTTCAGTCGAAACGCTAATGGATGATCTCGATTCTTCTATATCAGCTGAAAATCACTGGCATGAGTTTCACTGCGGTTTCTTTTTATGTTACTTTGCAAACAAATATATTCCGGATGATAAGATAGAAGAAAGAGATGCTTGGTCACGAGTTATTCAGTGTGAAATTGGTAAAAAGTAAGTTGGTTGGTATGTTGCTGATTCGAAGAGACCAAAGTTTTTTTTTTAAAAAAAAAAAAAACATTTATTCTAGGTGTCCGGGTCTCACATCAGTCGACTGTGCATATAAGCTGAATTCTGTAGAGATGAAGTTTTATGCACAGGTACAAAAAACGGCAGACTCTGAAGGACATGAATATCTCCCACAACATGTATCGCAAGTCATGGAATGGGGCAAAGTAAACATTTTCCGAATTTTTATTTTTTATTAAATTCGCCGTAATAACTTTTCTAATGATGGCACAATTACATGTGGTTAGGACCATAAATGATCTAAAAAAGAATCGATAACTAAAATCTGCTAGGTTTCACCTTTGGCGGTTCATTGAGTGGTTGATCAGCATGTGTCCTTTTAATATGCTTGAAGCTTTCGGGAATATTTTTCATCGTTCTTATTATAACTTATGTCGTAGTTTGTCCAAAACGACTTTGCAATAGATTATGGCTTTTAGCTTTTATCGTTATGCGAAAATCTACCTTTAAAAATTCAAGACTGCATCAGATTTTTCAGGTTTTTTATGAAAAAACTTTTTATGCCACAAAGTCTTTTGAAATTGGAGTGCGATGGTTCATGGCGAATAGTCAGACAGTGGCGGAAACTGTGCGTTATTGGTGCAGCAAAGCGGCTAATTTTTCGTTTCACATGTTTCCGGTGCCTGAGGATCCCTTTCCACATGTCCTGAATTCTCTTTCACCATCACTTCAATGTCCTGTAGTCATACCTTTCAGGCCGAGTAAAATTCAATCGCATTATGTGAGACTTTATATTCTATTTATAAATAATTTTTAAATCGTGAAATCTTGCGCTATAATTTTTTTGTGTTGTTGCCTATCCAGACTGACTTAAGACTCGCAAAATCTTGGTTTGCTTGTCGAATATTGCGTCATGTAGTTCAAAAGCGTTCGTTTGTATTCAAATTCTTATACAGTTTTACTTTTCATATTATTGTAATTCTTTCTTTGAAAAACTGCACATCATCCCTAGAATCATGCTTGCTCATCCAATACTAACTTAAATGGTAGAGTATGCAAGTTTGTAATTTTGTAGAAAAGCTCTTGATACTCATAACTGTAAATTCATTTAGATTTGTCGGCTTATTACTGCTGTAATCACAGCCTTTGGATTCATTGAAATGGGTTGTTCGGCACATCGAGTACCACAATATGTCCACCTTACAGGTGGGATGTTTTTGATGTATGATGAAGTGCGGCAAGCATTTGTTTGGTCTTGGAATCACATGCTCAGCCATCGATATCGTGCTAACTTGTAATTCTTTTCTCTACTACTTTTTCTTTTCTGAGAAACTTTCAAAAAAGGTCTGCATGTATGTAATTAAGAGGTTTTCATTTAATATATAGTGATTTATTTGAAGTTTTCCAGTAATTTATATTTTAATGCAATTAATGCTTTAAATTAGAACTCAACGAAAGAAAAAAAATAGAATTCATATAGAGCTTCTTGTGAGATTTATATATTCTTGTTTCAGGAATTGCTCGGAAGACTTTCGGGATTATATGCTCTCAGATTTTCAATCATTTTGTAGCAATGTGGATAATCGTATTGATAATTATATTCATAATTTGCTTGAGAATCAATAAATTGATAGTAAACTCGGTTGTAGATACTTGTGTTAAAGTTTGCCGTTTTTTCGGTGTAGTAGATCCTTCCAATGTTTTCATATAGCATAAAAATCATTTCTCTGTTAAACTTAAGTGCATCAGGAAATCTGGAAACTGGCGATGAACATTGATTGGCTGTGATGAAATATGCGCAATTGGTCGTTGGTCCAGCAGGAAGTGGAAAGGTTTGTCTTTAGTTGAAATGATATTATTTAAATACTGAGCTTCATGGTTTTTTAAAAATTTTGAATTTTTAAAAAAATATGAAAACTCGATATTATTAACTATTAGCTTTGAAGAGAGGTCTCTATGGCATTAATATAATCATTTATAATTCTATGCTTAATATTTTTAGTCCACATACTGCTCTGTAGTGCAGCAACATTGTCAATCAGTAGGTCGTAACGTTTTCTTTGTTAATTTGGATCCTGCAGCTGAGAAATTCATCTACAGTGCTGCTGTTGGTTCGTTTGTTTCTCTTACAAAAGCCACCTTTTTTTAATTTTTTTTCCGGTTTTTGTTAATTGTTTATTAGAAACAAAAGAAATATATTTATTTTAATCATAAACATTCATCAATCAATTTGTACGTTTACAATGGTAATTGTGTGCAATTAATTTTATATATTAGATGTGCGAGAGCTAATCAGTGTGGACGACGTACAAGAAGATAAACAGTTAGCACTTGGTCCAAATGGTGCCTTGGTGTTTTGCATGGAATATCTCGTGCAAAATTTAGATTGGCTTCATGATCAGCTAAATGAGGGAGAGGACGATTATTTCATCTTTGATTGTCCAGGTTTTTACGTATTATATGTTTAGATTCTTACTTATCAAGAATGCATTTTGAGGTATAAGGTAATTTATATTTTAGTACATACCGATGTACTTACTAAGGTACGATCAGAAAATCTTTCCTAAACAAGCAAAATATTTTGGAGAATCATCATTAATAATTAGAATTCCTAACCGTATAATTGAAATCAATTCATGTTCTATTAATTCAATTTATTTTAGAGCAGTGTCACTAAGTTTCTTCTTTCAGGTCAGATCGAACTTTATAGTCACTTACCGGTAATGAGACAAATTGTTAATGCATTAAAATCATGGGATTTTAATATATGTTCTGTATTCTTGCTCGATACGCAATTTGTTTTGGATTGTGATAAATTTTTGGGTGGTGCACTAACTACGCTCTCGACTATGATTGCACTGGAGGTAAGCTGATATTTATTAATAAAAGCTGCTAGCAGTGGAGAATCATGAACTGTTTTATAAATTTCAATATTTAATTGATATGTTCTGAAACTTATTATATCTATAGGTTCCTGCAGTGAATGTGTTATCAAAAGTGGATTTGTTATCACAACGTAATAAAGAATTGCTGGAAACTTTTCTGGAAACTGATATATGTTCTGTTCTGGACAGTGAGGAAACATCACCCTGGAATGAGAAGTACCGCCAACTTTCACGAACAATCGCTGAAGTTTTGGATGATTATAGTCTTGTATGTATTTTTATATTTTTTTTGTGCATGAGCATCTTACGGCTAATTTTTTCTCTTTGAAAAAGTTCTATTGATCTCTTAAGCTGGATTCTGTAACTTAGAGCAAAGTTTTAGCCTATTGTTATAATTGCAAGTATTTCTTAGGAACTTTTGCATTATTAGTTTTTAGTACATGTATTTTTCTAGCTTCTCTATCAATACTGTTTTGGACAGATTTTCTCAATTATTTTTCTATTCTGAAAATGTTTTCACAGAAGTATTTTTTGAGGTACGCTTTGTTCCGTTAGATATTGAAGATGATGAATCAATTAGTGACCTCTTGTCGCTCATTGATAACACAATACAACATGGTGAAGACTTAGAGGTGAGTTATAATATATATATATATATATAGTGCAAGATATAACACAGTTTAAGTTAGGCTGTTGAGACGGAGAATTATATGTATGCACATAAGAATGTATCTTGATGTGTGCTTTTGTTTGTAAATCAAAACTATCAAGAATTTTTGAGCCATTTGTGTAGACGTATGGAATTCAAATTCAGATAAGTAGAACTGTTTTAACTCACTCAAAAAGAAAGCTTGAACCGTTTGTTTGTCACGTTTTGAAATGGATGTAAAGAGATTGCACAATAACTTTTTCTAAATTCAGTTACAGATGTAAAATGATAAATTTTAAGCCTCATTTTTCCTTCAACTTTTTTCTTACTTTATGACAATTTATAGAATAAATGAGTCAACTTAACCCTCTATTATAGTATAATTGTAACGAAATCTTTTACAAATCCCTAATAATTTTCCATATAATTTTTTTTATTTTTGTTTCAATCAGTTTTCAGGTAAAAGATCGTTATCCGGAAGAAATGGATGATGAGAATACTGTTTACTGAGAGTTCCTACGGAACAACAGGCTCTCATCTCATTATTGCATAGGCGGTTTTGTTCACTTTTACCATTACAGTGTCTATCCATGTTGCTTACTGATTTGTTAAATAAAGTATGAACATTTTCTTTTATTTGCTATGCTCAGAATAGTGTTCGTTGTGTACAGTGCTGTTACACATCAAGAATCCGATAAACTTTATTGAGTGAGGCAATTATGCTACCGCACAGGTGCAAAAGAAATGCCATTTATGGAAAAGCCATGTTATCGATCTAAAGCCCCTAATCGATTAGCTGCATCTTCAGGTGAGGAATCTTCCTGAAAATGCATATGAAAACAGAAGAGGACCGCAGTAATGGAAGTTAAATTCCTTTCAAGCAGAATGACAAGTTGCTGAATTTATTGACAGTGATAATTAAATCTGTCTTGTTTTAAGCTGTCTTCATATTTAATCTGATAACCGAAGACTAGTAGTAGTTGTTATTCCTCTTTGAGCATTTTTTTCTTATTGAAAAAGAGTACTTTCGAGATATGTATGTCAGGATTAAATAGGCCAGATTTATAAAGGCTCGGAATCTGGAGAAGAATAACACCGATGATGTTGTTGGATTGTCTTGTATTGGGACGAATTTCTTGTTCTGTATTTTCCGCTGATTATAGGATTATATGCTTATTTACTGACTTATTCTCATGTTTCAAAGTCTTACAGTCACTTTGAATTCTCTTATTGCATGTTTTGTACTCTCATGTTCTTATGCAGTAGCATCTTTCCGCATCTATACTAACCAAGTATTTCTATCCCTATGTTTCCTTCCGGGATTTATTAGTAGATATTTCAAAACTTCAGGTTTTTTTCAGACGGAATCTTACGTGACTAAAATTCCGCCTTGCAAACTCGAGCTTAAAGAATTTCTGAATATGACATAAGAAGTTATGAATACTTGGTCGCCGACAGAACATATATGGTGACGTGGTATTCCTAACTCATTTTGTTCATAACCACATTCAAAAAAGATCTCCACAATATCTCTAGTACGGTTTTAAATTAGTTCAAGGGTCAGTTCAGTGCTGTGTTATATGATCCTAAAAATGACCAGATTTTCCCGCTTGATATCTTACTTCAAGAAATTTTTTTTAGATTAATGACTTCGAAAATCAACTCCCGTACCCAAAAATATATAGATTATATCTTGTCCAGTTGTCTGCAGTCTAGATTTTATCAATCATATTGGATCTTTTATCTTCATTATAACTGTCTGGAATTGAAAAAAGCTTCAATTGAAAAATTTTCAATTGAAACGATGATAGAATAAACCATAAAGCAGAGTTACACTTATAATTACACCAAGCAGCACTTTGATATTAATGAAGTGCGGATGATCGAAATGACAAAATTCGCAACAGAACAGTATCAGCAATATAAAAGAAATTAAAAAGATGGATCTAAACATATGTTAAATAATCAAAAGTCTTTTAAATTATATATGTGTAGGCCTGAGAATTATGAACAAAAGCTTAGATCTCATAAAATATAGGACTTTGCAAGCTTAACCCTCCTCTTTTCGTTAGTATTGAACATTCAACCGTTTTCCCAAATCTTCCTTGCTCAATCATATTCATCGAATATAAATTGTGACATGAAGTATGAGAAGAAAGAAAACTCCTTCCTTCTATCTTCTTTAGGAATATTCGAATTACTGATACCATAATTTCCTTATATAATCCATAAAGTGTATAAAAATGTCAAATTTTTTTTTGAACCAAACTGGACATTAATTTTAATTGCAAAATTGATTAATTTATTTTATTATGCAATAATATAATATATAAAAAATACATTTAAGGGAAAAAAAATTGTTGAGACTTTCCCCTCCCACTTTTTTTCTTAATTTATACTTTTTCTTAATTTATAATTAAATCAACAATTTCTTTTTACATCATTTCTAAATTAATTTGGTTTGCAGAATATATTTCCAAAGATACATAAATGTTCGCTTTGACAAATCAACCTAATACCTGAATTCGTAAATATCGCTTTTTTTCAATCATTGCTCTATTATTAACATCAAACATTTTAACTTGTATAACAGTAAAAATGTAAAGTCCATTTCTATGGGAGACGGTTAATAAAGTATATGCCAATAAATATATCGTTTTGTTTTGTCAACAATGAAACGCTATATTTCACAGTTTAACTCGATTATTATATGAGGAAAATTAATTAAAAAACAAAAAAAAATGTTTGGAAATAGAATATGACAAGTAAGTGAAATATAATTAAAGTTTCTGAAATGCATGAAAATGAGGGTGGGAAATAAGCTGATATAATTGCAATTGTCAATTGCTGATATTATCATTTAAAAAAACCGAAAATTTCCATGACAATACGCAGATCATTCGATATGCAATATTAAATTAAAAATGTATAATTATTCAATACGGTATAGATTAAGGATTGCTTTAACCGTGACGTTTAATGCCAACAACTGTTAGCCAATTTTCATTCAAGCAAATCTTCACATTCTCCATGCATTGCCAACTTTCAATTTTCAAATTGTTTTTAATTGCCTGTTTGGCATTGACTCTTTCAGTCTTAAAGATGAAAAGAACAGTGATGATCAAAAATTTTATCAATTCAACTGCTGATCATGATTTTTTTCATATGCTGATTCATCTGAAATATTTAAATCAGTTGAATCCTTTTTATTGGGGACAGATTATTTCAAGCAATATGTCACCGAATTTTAATTATCTGCTATATGCGAAATGCTTCCATTAGCAGTGACATTAAGACTGCGCTCTTTACTCCAAATTTTCACAAAAAGATAGTTTCCTGTAATTAAATTAACCGACATGTCATTTGGTAAATTTGTTCGGTAGCGCTAATATCTTTATACTTCAATAATTGTTAAACAGTGTAATGAATTGCAAGAAAAATGCCACGGATTTTTTCCTATAAGCAAAAGCATGAATGTGATTTTACTGATGTATTGGTAACATACAATAAGAGAATGGGATATGAAAAATATTAAAATATTTGGTGGAATATTGTTTATCTGTCCTTCACGATTATTCATTACCCAATTTCAAATTATCAACCAAATAGCATGCATCTTATCTGTGATAGATTCAAAACATTTCGAGAGATTTTTTGCTTCACCACAATAACTTATTACTTTAATTCTCGTACAAATGACATGATCATATAAGAGAGTTGCATATTTTATTGGGATGAAAATATGTTTGCAATCTCTTTTGATGACAGTTTTGTTTTTAATGATAAATGCTAATTTTGTTTATTATTTCCTCTATCAGACAGTGCAACTAAAAGAGTTTTGGCAACACTCAATACTGCTCGGTTACTACGATGCTCTCGACTTCCTAACAAATGAAATTATTTTAGGAAAATCAAGGCAACACTATCAATTTCTTTTACGAACAAGTTCTAAGTTTTTTGATTCTGCATCAAATGATATGAAATATTTAATTGATGATATATGCCTTTTATTGAGGATCGGTTTAATAATATAATACTGATTTACCAGCCGTTGATTTAAAATATTTATTGCTTTAACATTTCCTTCTTTATTTTGATCATATTTTCTTATCCAAGCAACTTTCCAAAATTTGTATAATTAAAACAGAAGTTCAAGGAATGTTACAAGGGTAAGAGATCTGATGATATAAAAATTTGCTCATAAATAAATTTAAGAAATTTCGATTGATCTTAGATTAATAACGTATTAGAATCAAATTTTGATAAATAAATTTAAACGAAATTCTGTGACTGCCGTTTAATGCCAGTTATCATCTATCACTTGCTAAATCTTACATCTGCCACGTCATATTTTGGATTTTGACCTGTTTTTTAAAAAAGTTTTTAAAACTCTTTGCATCAGTCTTCCAAATCTGTTTCAGTCTTAAATAACAAAAAGCAGCGATGGCTTAAATTTTACTAGTTTATTAGACTATTGCGATTACAAAAATTTGTTTATTGCTTAGACTGATTCAGTCTAAGCAGTAAACTTGTAATTTAAAGTTAAACGTGTGAAATATAAATACTGATGATAGAGAAATGCGAAAACAAATTGTCATAATTGTCGAAATTAATTGTCATTAATGTTGAAGTGAAATATTTCTGGTCAGTACGCCCAAGTGAAATTCCATCAGTTACATTTTGAAAGTCTATGTGCAGCTTTCAATTTGATTAAACTGCCAATTTCAAGCACTAAAAATTAGATTGAAATAATTCCAAGAATTAAAAATTGAATTCACTTGATGGCTATCAAAATTCCATCCTTTATGATGCTAGTCGGTTTTACATATAATATTGGTTCGATCGGAACTTCTTAATGAGTATCCAAAATAACAACGACAATTTAAAATTTTAATAGTTTATTTACTACACGACATTGCCAAGTTTTTTTCGGATCCAAAAGCACATTCATTATTTATCATTTTAGAGATTGGAAAATGACAGTATAAGAGGAAAACAAGAAATAATATGAATAACAGAAATTAGAAATTATATAAATCTTTATTTGTTTAATTCAAATAAATCTGATATAAAAAACTTCCATTCGAGCGATTTCTACCAGTTTTTCTTTAAGTAACTTATTTCCTATTTCAGATTATTTCCGTTGCAATGACACGCATCATTTGGTTCAGCTTTTTGCTTTACACCGTTAAATCTACATATTATCCTAATTACCCACAAGAAAATATTTTTCCGATTGATTCTCGTCAATTTTATTTTCTATCACACGGCACCTTCGGTCAAAGTGCAATAGGTCAACATAACTTTTGGGGCAATACGCACCTCTCAAACAATTTCCATTTGGCACAATTTGACGGAAATATGAATACATACAACAGTAAGTTGGAAAATACTGTTGAACAATTACATTCGATTCCTCGCAGTTTTTTCATTTCATTCAATTACATGTAATTGAGAATAAAAAACGATAAAGAATCGAAAAACGAAATTAATTTCGTCACAGCAGAAAA